CCCTTTCTTGCTTGTCGCGCGACGACCGAGGAAAGGTCAATAGAGTATAGCGCAAACCAGGTCCATGATTACACTTGTTGGCAATCCGTTTGAACCAGACGGACAAAAAATCTTACCAGGGCAGGGCAGTATTGGCCACATTGGATTTGGAAGAACAGGGCGAGACTAGATAGAACTTGGCGTCATTTGCGCAAAACTCGTACCCGCTTCACTCCTGACTGACAGCAGTCAACGGGAAATGTCTTGCGCCCAACGAAGCTTAGACCAAGCTGACAGCGATCCTGGGCAATACGCTCGCTGCTGGAAAACCTAGCGGTGTAATCTGGTGGTGACAAGCCTTCGTGATCGAGCTGTGAAAGCTACGCGGTTTATAGCGTATGAAAATAGCAAACGAGCGGTCGACAGTACCAGCACATTTGACGGAGCTGTCGGACCCCGGGGCGCCATATTGAACAGAATCTTAGTCCGAATAGAGACTGAGGTAACCGGGGTATCGGGACCGTGATGTTACATTGTCTTGAGAACTTTTGACCCAACGCAGAAATAAGGTAGTCGGCTAGCCTGCTCTTGGTTCATTGGAGTCGAAACTGATTTTGAAGTTGACTCAGCCTCCACAAGCTCTGCCCTAAACAATGGGCTAGAGTCCCAGACGGCATGTCGTGGGATTATGAGCAAATTGCGGCCGTGGTGGTTGCGGAGGTGGAGGTCGCCCCGGACCAACTCATATACGGGGCGGGATGATAGTTGCACCATCGCCTAAACTCAGCGTTGCAGTGGACCTTCTCCCGACTCGCGGGCGGCCCATTTAGTGTAATTGCTGTGTAAGACTGCTGGTCAACCTGGGGAACGGGAGCAAAAACCTCCCATCGGCAAGGTGAAGCCCCGCACCCGGCCCCACACCAGTAACGGCTGCCGGATTGGGTCATCGAGATCGTCGCGAGGAGCCCAATTTCGATGTATTCGCTGTGAGCTTGCCAACTTGAGCCTTGAGTACATTGTGATAGTAAAATAGAGATCATCGGGGATTTGAGTTTCGCTGGCGGCGTCGCGACAGGCTGGTGTTACTTTTGCAGCATGGCGAAGCTGGCCGCCGTTACTCTTGGAAAAACTTTGCAAGTCGTAACGAATTGCCTTCATGGTTTCGCGGTCTTGTCGCATCATCATCTGACGCTATCCGTACCGGGCGCATCAACCATGCCGTTGTTGCATCGAACCCTATTCGAGCTAGAGTGACTAGGAAGTCCCTGGGCCTTTCGGTTTTTGCGAAGGTCTGCGTTCAGTTGATGTTAGGAATACACTGGCAGTGCATTGCGATGGTGCAAACGCAGCCGATGGGTGTAAGTCCGACTCTGTGATACTTAGATTCCTGCCAAGTCAGGTCTGTGGCCCACCTCACTGGCTATTGCAGACCGAGCCCGTGAACATACTGGATATGACGAGTGCTGTCAAGCAGAAGCCATTGGGATGCTTTTGGCTTGGCGACGTGGTTGAAGCGTGGGGTAGATCCTTGAGCCACACCCAGTGACGCAACCTTGAAGCTGCTTTCGGTGTATTCACCGGCAACGCCTATGTACGTTTCAATATTTCTGAATTTGTTCACCTCAGGGTTTTGTGTGTTGTCTACAATCCACCAAGAAACACTCGGCCATCGCTGGCCGTAGGCGGAGTTCAGACTTGCAGCTTTGACACAAACAGACCGGTAAGTCGGCCGGTATCCGTATTTCAACTTGTCTGTGTTGCAAATGTTGAATGGCTGCGCCGCATCCGAATGACACGACTTCCAGTCGTCCAAAGTAGACAACAGTCATCTTGAGCATGCAAATTTCGGATTGAAAGGCACCATTACCTAAGCCAAGGAACAGAAGGAACCGGCAAATGCCTGCGCAATGTCAGACGAATAGACAGAACTGTATTGTTGTGAGCTCATACCTTGCAGTAGCAAAGTTTCATCTTCTGGACATGGCGTCAAGAGCGGGCGGATCGGAAGGCTCAAGATCAAATCCTTCCGACTTTGGCAAGGAGCTTGGTAGCTGTAGCCATCCTAGTAGCATTTAGCAAGGTCTAGACTGATGATATCGACCATTGTCGGCGATCTGCTATCCTTCCGGCCCGTTCTTCAGCAGTCTGTTTGCTTTCTCTAGCGGGCAAGAATGGAACAAAACATGGAAGCATTGCGCGTCCTGCGTCGGTGCTGATCTTTCTTGTGCCACTGGTGCCGTCTTAGTGACAAGATTTGGCAAATCGGGACGGGTGTGCGGATGCTTAGTTGGACGGTTTGATCGTCTTTGCTTCCCTAAATCTGGTGTGCAGGCTTCACCAGTCCGTGAGTCTTTCTCCCACCCACATGGTCCATTGGGGACCGGCTTACACGTGTTTGGACATCGGAAGGGTCGCAATCCTCGGCCAGCGGGAGATGGGCCTTGACCGACGATAGGAGCTCGAAGCATTTCAAGGATGAGGCCTCACGGGAACGAAAATAGGAATGCCCATCCTTTCGGTGACAGTGAAGGCATCGGGCTGAGACGCAAGAGCAGGGGGATGTTGGGAAATGCCGAAAGCTGCGGCTGCCGTCAGATAAGCCCCTTCCTTGGCGACAACGTACATCGTCAGCAAGCCTGCTGGAATTACTTGGCGAGAATGCTACAGGCGCATGTTGTGAGTCGTCAGAGTGATCAGCCATCATGTTGGGAGATTGTAGATGAGCACAGATCTCGAATCGCCGCGTACCTCAGTGGTGCCGACTGAGCACAGGTCTCGCTGCGTGTTCTAGGCACTTTCCCTTTTGTTACACCGGATTTTCTTAGCAGGTGGACGTCATGAGAATGGAAGCAAAGACGTGAGTTGATCTTGCCGTGAGTAAAAGGTACTTGGAAGTTCGTCAGTACGTATCTACCTGGGTACAAAAGATGCTATCCGTGTAAGGTACGTACACAACATCTCAGCCAACATGCAGGTGCATCTTGGGCTGTCTTTACGGTAGTGACGGTCTACCAAGTGCATCATGCGCTTTCCAACAGCTGTCACAGTATTGGACAAGGTGCATGGTGACGATGGATGCGACCTGAAGGCGCGGCTTGGTGCGCTTATCCTAGTGATCGGTGCTCCGTTCCACATCTTTTGTCTTTCCTCTGGTTCAATTCGCCCTCCACAGTCCAAGCCAAGAAGAACAACCTGACATGCTTGCGTATGCTTTTCTCACGCTCCAATGTCCGATATTTCTGCCCGCTACTGTGTAATACGGACAATCCCAAGAAACACTGTTTCTGACCAAGGCTTATGGCAGCAGACACCTCAAGCACCCGCGCGGCATCTTTTTGCCTCCGGGAGGCTGAGCCCGCCAAGCACATCCATTGGTCTGTTCACCTTGACCTATGCTCTTTTGGATTTTCCCAACTTCCCAGCAAGGTCGTTGCCTTTTCAGCAAACTACGCACGCGCATATGCAGGGTGTCGAGAGCCATCAACAACAGGCGTTTCGTTTGCAGTTTCTCTTCGCCTGCCAGGGCTACAGGTACTCCCCTACCCTCTTCGCTCATCTTGTTAGAGTTTGTGCCGGACAACTGCTGCCCACGGCCCCAAGAAAGACCAGCATAAACACCCTGCCAACCCGCTAGTCCCATCTGCGTAGAACACTGGTGTTTCCCGCCAGGATGGTCCCGGCCCGGACCCTTCGACGGCCATGCTTTAGATGGCATCTGATTGTTCACACAAGTTTGCGACTCCCTTACTGGGCCAGCAAGCGGAATTCTCTCTGGCCTACTCGTCACTAGCTACCTTGTAGGTGTCAACTTTTCATGCCACTGTGTCACAGCAGGTTCGGTCAAGGACTCAATGGGAACCAAATGCTCTCTTCCAGCAGCCTCGGACGGACCAGGACTTCCCCTTCGGCATTGCAGGGGCTGGACTAATCTCTTTACCCAATCATATCCATTCCAATTGTGTCTGACACCCTAAAAGAGAGTAGACCGCATCCAAGACACGCTGCAAGGAGTCAAATTTACGACTAGGGGAGCCTGTGCCTGATTAGTCCATCTTCCCATTTTTTAGGCTTTACTGGCCCGGGGAACGTGTTGAACCGACCGGGTCCGTCGACGTGGGCCCAACTCTCAGTTTCCTCCCATGGCCGACCACCTTTCTCTACACTACGACACGAAGCTACCAAGCTACTAGCTGTGCTATCAAGCCGACAGCAGCTCCTCATCTGCGTGGCTGTGTTAGCCAAGATGTGCCGCCAGACACATGCTGATCTCTAGCCTTCTCTAGAGCGCCTCCAACAAAAATCACCGATAGTACAGAGTGTTCCGATACAGCCTGCAGCCGGCCATCTTATGCGTCGGTTACAAGTGCCCCAGGGGTCATCCCCTGCGTGGCTGGACCTGTCAGAGAAAGTCGACTCTCACTGCCCGCACTCCCCCAAGCAGAGATCCAGCAACGAGTGGGTGGGCGTGAAGAATAGAGAGGCATGGGCCAGGGCCTGACTCTCGGAACAGACTCGAGAAGTAAAAACGGGATGACTTTGTGCTAGTGTATGAAGACGTCGCCAAGATCTCATGGAAAACGACGTGGGGAAAGAAGAGCAAGTGCCAATAAACGCAAATCATAGCAAAACGGTTGGCAAAGGGAGCAAAGCCACGGTGAAAGCTCCGGCCCTTCTCTGTTCGCCGCTTTGAACCTGGCATCCGCACTGCACATCTCCGCCATCGACTACCACGGAGCTGGATTGCCGTCGCGCATCCGTCACATCTTCATAAGAACCCCCGGAGCTCCCACCATTCTACACCCCATCCAGACTCCAACTGCCGTGTCACTCCAACCTTCAGTCCGGAGCCTCCCTGCACATCACACAACACACCAAGTATGTACGTTACATCCCGACCCCCACTCCATCCCACTGTCTTTGATTTAAGATCCTCTGAGGCCTCCATGATAGTTCTCATATAGATGTGAACTAACACAACCAACAGTAACGACCTCGATAAACACGCCTTATCAGCGGACACGATGAAGGCCTTCGCAGCTTCCTCTCTCGCGGCCGCGCTCTGTATGTCTTGAGGCATCTCTCCCAGACCACTGATACTAACAGTGTCGACAGATGCGGCGACAGCCTCCGCCGACGCTATTCAGGCTTGCCCGAACACTGATGTTTGCTTCCGCGTTGCTGTCCCGGCGGCTTCGTCCAGTTCCGGCAGCGGCAACATGTACTTCCAGATGTCTGCCCCCACCAGCTACCAGTGGATTTCCCTCGGCACGGGTTCGTCCATGTCGAACGCCAACATGTTCCTGATGTATGCCGACGGAAACGGCAATGTTACCATCAGCCCTCGCACTGCGCGTGGCCACAACATGCCTACCCTCTCGTCAAGCACCACCCTCGAGCTTCTCAGCGGCTCCGGTATCGTGAACGGCAACATGGTCGCCAACGTCCGCTGCACCAACTGCGCGTCCTGGAGCAGTGGTTCCATGTCCTTGAACTCGGCTTCCAGCTCCTGGATCGCTGCCTGGAAGTCAGGCAGCGCCATAAACTCTGCCAGTACCAGCCAGAGCATCCAGCAGCACGACGAGCATACCAACTTCAACCTCGACCTGACCCAGGCAACGGTCCAGACCGACAGCAACCCTTTTACGACTAACTCGGGTAATAGTGGCAATGGAAGCGGCAGCGGCAGCGGCAGTGGAAGCGGGAATGGCGGCTCCACCAGCGGCGGCGGCGGTGTTGTATTTAATGGAGGCGGCGGTGTTTCGTCCAAGGTCCTCCTCGCCCACGGGATCATAATGACGATCGTATTCGTTGCCCTTTACCCCATCGGAGCCATTCTCATGCCCCTCGTGGGTAAGTGGATGGCTCACGCTGCTTGGCAGTCGGTTGCTTTCTTGCTCATGTGGGCCGGCTTCGGCACTGGCTACGCTTATGCTCGCGACAACGGTTATGTGAGTTGCTTTTTTTCATTTTTTTCGTGAACCGGGAGACTGTACTCCATCGGGTCGTTTCCAAGACCCTCCAAGTCCAGATCGCAGTGCTGATACCGCGTAGCTCTTTGCGCAAACCCATACCCTCTTGGGTACCGTAGTTGTTGCCCTCTTGGCCGTGCAACCATTCCTCGGATACGCCCACCACGCCTACTACAAGAAGTTCCAGACCCGCGGTGTCATTAGCCACGTCCACGTCTGGTTCGGCAGAATTGTGATGGTTCTCGGCATTATCAACGGTGGTCTCGGTCTCGAGCTCGCTAGCTCATCTCGGGCCTATGTCATTGCGTACTCCGTGGTTGCTGCTATTCTCGGAGTTGCGTGGATTGGATCCGCCGTCTGGGGCGAGATGCGCAAGTCCAAGCGCAACACCGTCAAGCGCGAGCAGAGCCACGAGTCACCAGATTCTCAGCAACGCATCCCCTACCGCCAAAAGAAATAAGCGCTCGGCCTAGCTTGGTTGGGGGTTTGTTATTTACGATAGCAAGAATACAGAGGATAAGACCATATGGGATACAGAGATTAGCCTCTAATTTGTTTTGTATGAATGATATACCACAGATGGCAGGTTGCTAACCTTGCCACGCCTACGAAAGATCCGGGGCCGCAGTATGAAAAGACGGCAGCTTGGGTAGAACACGGAGTTTGTGGCGTTTTTGGTGATGGGTTTCTTGAATGATAGCTTATACAATAACGATCACTTGATCTAAGCTACCGGCATCCGCATGTGTGACCAATAGTCTTGCAGACTCCGAACACGAGCTCTCGAGCATGTTTACGCATCCTTGTATGTTTCCATTTCTACTGACACTAGTCATATATCAAGGTGAGCAACGATGATGAAGTTATCAAGATGCCCAAAGTAAGAGAGATCTCTAAACCTGCACACTTCTGCAATATCCTTTCGCTTGTCTATGAAACGAAACCAACTGTATCAATCGCAACAGGTATCTAGTAAAGTAGATGAATGAAGGGCGACCTAGCTCGACTTCGAGCTCAGCGAACAACAGCAGAGACACTCTGGTGGTGACGAAAATGACGGGAGTATGAGCGAGACATGGATGTATGAGGTCATGCACCAAAAAACCGATTGTTGCAGCTGTGAGAGAACTAGCCCGGATCGCCAAAGGAGCTTAGGCCAAGCTTGGTCCGAACAAAGTGTGGCAGTTTGAACTCTCTTGGTGTGTACTGGTAGGTGTGCCCGGCGTTAAGTGCCAGCCTATGATGTCGGCGGTGGTGGTTTTGGTGGAGGGGAAAGTTGACGAAACCGTTCCTTCTTGGCTGTCAATTACTCCCAATGACCACCTCTCACCAGCTAACAGTCACCTTTCAGATCAGATCTATGCCAGAAAGAAGATGGGCAGCGACGGTAGAGTGTCATCGGTTGTTCCTCACGTGATTTTAGTCCACCCGCCTCCGCTTGTTGTTTCCCCGACCCGCTACAGCAATGCGTGAGGTAGAAAGACGTGGGAAAGTGGGGAAAAGCAGCAAAAGGCAGGCAGGTTCTACGCCTGGAGACCTGAGGCATCGAAATCGCAGCGGTCGGCTGGGAATCATTGCGTCCAACCAGAACTGAACCGGCTCACTCCAGCTTTTTACTGTCCCATCCCGTACAAAACCCTCAACCACCCGTCGTCCGCCTCCCTCCCCCCATCCCCCCGGTGTCCCCAATTGAGCCAGCCACCACCCACATATCAAGATGCTCGTCCAATTGTCCAGAGCCACTGTACGTCTCTCTCTCTCTTCTCTTCTCTTCCCGTTATCGTGATGATGATGTTGTTGTTGTGTTGTCGCTGTTGGCATCGGCCTCCGTTCGGACGCGCGGACCGTCGGTCGGAAATCAAGGAAAAAAACTGACGACTTTTTGCCCAAACAGCGCGCCGCTTCGGCTGTCTCCCGGCTGGCGAGGCCCAGCGCCGTCCAGATGAGGGGATTCATTGCTCCCACCGTCTCCCGCAGAGGTTCGTCAATATTTCTCCCGTCTTCGATTTCAATTGCCCCGGAGGAGGAGCGAGTATGCGTTCGATGCGAAGCGTTGGCCATTTCGGGTTGCCGGTGCGGCTAAAGGGAGGCCAAGCTCCGAAGCTGGGGAGTGCGCCTCGCTGCCGGATAACGATATCTATCGGTCACGCAAATCACTTGAACACACTCGCCGTCCATCACATTCGCATCGACAATCCTACGCCGATTAACGGCCTTCCATCTCTCCGATCCGCCCGTTGCTCCTCCTTCCCTCTTCTGCCCATGCCGTCGCTGTCGTCATCGCCCCAAAACTCTTGCTCCGAACCCATTTCACTAACCTGCAATCCCCGATACAGCCGACTTCGTCCAGGAGCTCTACCTCAAGGAGCTCAAGGCCTACAAGCCCACCCCCATCAAGGAGTCCGACTCCCAGGGCCAGGTCCAGACCTTCTCCATCCCCGCCACCCCCAAGTCTCCCGAGGAGGCCGACCTCGCCGCCAGCCTGAAGGAGTACGAGAGCATGGCCGTCGAGGTCGAGGGCCAGGACGCCACTGCTGCCGCCAACGGCGAGCCCGTCAAGCACGACTGGCTCATGATTGAGGAGGACGAGGAGGAGCCTCACCACTAGAGCGCTTCGGCGACGTGCAAAACCGTTATTGGAAAAGAAAACAAAAAAGTTTCAAAACGAACCACACCGTCCCGGATTACCCCGCCGAAAAGATAAAAACGTCCATCAATCCTGAAGTGATGGGAGGGAAAAGTGCTTTTCCAACCTTGGCTTCTGGGTTTGTAACCTTTGCCGCTTGCTCCGAACCGACCAAAAAGGAGTGGGAAACGTGTTTTTGTGATTGAGAGGAAAGGAGAGAAGGAGAAAGAGAGAGAGGAACCCTAGAAACGAGGGGAAAGGTGTGCTGGGAGGTGGTAATCCCGTGTATATTGTCCAACTAAACCTCGCTGGCTAGGAATGCTATTCGCATGCGCTTCAACTATCGGTTCCTCTTGTGTATATGTGGCTCATGCCACTCATATGTGTGATTTTACCTGGACATCCTCGACCAATAATCACCATACTCCGGCAGCTCCCATGCCGAATCGATTGAGACGACTCTATCGCTTCTGTTTTCCCAATCGACACTCTACGCCGCAACGCTATACCTGACTCTGGAGCTTGAGTGAAGACATTGTGGAGATCCCGGGATCTCCCGAACAGAACCAAAACCACCACCACCACCACCACCACAACACAGAATCGTCAGGCAGAGGCTCTTTTTTTCCAAGAGACAACTGATACTCGAGAAATGGTGTTTCTTCAACACGCAGTATTGGACAGAACTCCCCATCATGTCTGCCAAGATTCCCTGGACGAAAGAACAGAGTCATCTACGTCATGCTTACGGGTCTTGTTTTCAATGCACACTGAAGGTGGGTTTGCGTAGTTCCTGGGACAACAAACGATGTGTGATCCACAACGATTATGCTAGGTCACGCCTTTCGAAGTCGAGGGTGACGGCGTGCGTGGCTGCTTGTTACAACTCACTTCGCCTCCCTTGCCTTTTGCACGCTTCTTACCTAGTCGATATATCTCGTCACCATGTCTCTCGCCGATCATTTCTTATCGTGAGACAGGTACCCGATCACTTTCTGCTCCGCAGATGAGATACTCGATACCGAACGGTCTTCATACCGATGCTCTCAGTCCACGTTGTTCACTAGAGGTTCTGTCTGGGGTAATCTCTAGGAGCTGTTTCTTGGTTGAGCGTGTGTGTGTGTCTATGGCGTCTTTAGATGCTGCCAATAACGAGCCTGACGTGTCCCACGTCTTGGTGATGGTTGGTGGCTGGTGATCCATTTTTATTGCTATTGGTATTCGTATCCTTGTCATGTTCATACTTCTTGAAGAAAGCACCTTGAGAAATACAATAAAGGCAGTAGTGATCTTGAGAAGTATCCTTTTATATCAGATACGGATCTTGGTTTTCCACAAATCCAACTTTGCTGGAACTTGGTGCAAGTCACCATCACACATCACAATGACTTTTACAGGAAGGAGATATGTCAAGAGAACCTAGTGTCATTTCTGTTTTTTCAAATGTAGCTAAAGCTAATTAAGCAGTATTACAGACGGCTTTGTGTAGAGCTAATCGCGTTCCTCTCTCACTTCTTTCCGTTGACGACCCCTCCTTTCTTCATTGGTCCCATTCACTACCCTCTTCGCCCCATATACTGCATAGCTCTAGATAACCTTTGGGAGGGATTCTTTGTTGGATGTCTGGGCACCCATCAAAAGGCCCCTCTCGCAAGACCATGGACCACGAGATTGCCCTAAACGCTAAACGTCTGTCGCAGAATTGCAGTATGTCATTAGAAAAGGCCAGTCTTTCCGCCATTGGTACCACTCCTTTCCATGAAAAATGCCCTCCAAAAATGCAACGATGCCTGTGTAGCAGCCTCATGTCTGATGTGCGGATGTTTCCTATGGTAATGACTCATGGGGGTATAAAACATCCACATTATCCGATGAAGGCATCGAGGTCATCAGCATCAGCATCAGCGAGCGGTATGCAGAGCCTTATCATCAAGGCCCATCGTCGTTGTTGTAGTTATTGTTTGTGTCGCGTGTAAGCAAAGCTCTTCGATTAGCTTGAAAAGCAGCATTCTGAGGGGCCGATCAGGAATCCGAATGTTCATCGCTTCAGCCCAAAAAACGCCATGTACCGATTACACCCCCGGGCCCAATGATCACATGCAAGGTTTGACCGCCCTTATGCACTGAAATCCATGAATGTTCGTTTTTTTGACTTCGTAATGATGATGACCGTGTTTTGCTTCTGCAAGAGAGAAAAGGCTGTGTGTGATGAACTTTTCTTTGTCCTCAAAATAGAACCCAAAAACAAATGAGCCAGAAGTACCTAGGAAAAAAAAACCAGAATGCACAAAGTCATCAAACGTCAAAGTGACCACCACCAATCATCTGCTCTTCGTTGGTGGTTGTGCGCACAATGCCGCTCATGCGATTGCCTCTCTGGTTCATATCCTCCAGGTCATCCCAGTCATCGTCCTGGTGGTGAGAATCACGCATCTCTTCGTCATCGTAACGGCCCTTATCTCTCATGTGATCGTCGAGAGCGCTCTCGTCCACAAAGGTGAAGCCCTGGAAGTTGGCCTGCACAGAGGGCGAAAGGGGCGTCGATGTAGCGAATCCCTTGGACAAAGCAGCGGCCCGTTCATTAAGTGAGCCGTTGTTATCGAGCGCGTTGGTGAACTCGGGGTCAAAGTACGACACATCTGTGGCAGAGGTCAACTTGGGCTTGAAGGGAGGTGTGATGAGCTTCTTTGCCAGAATGTCCCAGTCAATGTCGGCAAAGAATGGGTGGCGCTTCAACTCCTCCGCATCGTCCGTCGCACCAAGTCTGTGCTTGGGGTTTCTGTTGAGCAGGCCCTTCACGAAGTTGCGACCCTCCTGTGACAAGGTGTCCCGAGGAAATCTGACCTTGCCAAAGGCGATGTTCTTGTACATCTGTTGGGTGTCCTCCGCATAGAAGGGGCTCCAACCGCAGCACATCTCGAAGACTAGAACTCCCAACGACCAGAAGTCCACCATCTTGGTGTATCCTGACTCGTCAAGAAGAACTTCGGGAGCGAGGTACTCGGTTGTGCCGCAGAACGTGTTGGTAGTATCGTTCTTTGTCAAGTTAGCCTTTGACAGGCCAAAGTCACACAGGGCAATGTGACCATTTGCGTCGAGCAGTATGTTCTCTGGCTTCAGGTCACGATAAACGATATCGTTGTTGTGAAGGTGCTGGATGGCCAAGATAAGTTCTGCGATATAGAACTTGGCTCTTCGCTCATCGAACCGTCCCTCCTTCTGGAGATGCCAGAAAAGCTCACCACCAGACATGTAATCAGTAACCAAGTAGAGGTCTGATGGCGTCTGGAATGAGAACTTGAGGCCCACAATGAATGGCGAGTCGGACATGGCTGTCCGAACCAGGATGTTACGCTCACCAACAGTATGGGCAACTTCCTTCTTCTGAACGATGACCTTCTTGGACAGGACCTTCATGGCGTAAATACGTTCGGTATCCTTCTTCCGGACCTGGTAAACTTGTCCAAAGGTACCCTTGCCGATCAACTTAAGAATCTGGAAGTCTTCCGGACCAAAGTGCTTTCTCTCCGTTCGCTGGTAGACGGCTTCCACGTAAATCTCTCCTGTAGGAGCGTTCTCCGCCATCGTGTCGGCATGGCCCTTGAGCTGGTACCAGCCACGTACTGGGTTGCTGGAGTCTCTGTTGGCCTGGAAATCGACTTGACCCAAAAACTCCTCTCCCTTATCGGTATGGTCATATACGGAAATATCGACCAGCATGTTCGAATCAACAACATCACTGCAGAAAAATCAGCCAAGAACCCAAGTGCTTTAAGCGGTGCGCCAACTTACAATTCTGCCTCGGCGTCCCACTTTGGACTGGTAAAGGATCGACGGGAACGGTTGCGGAATGTGTTGTAATCGGAAATGCTGGTGTTGCTGCTCTGGCGGCTCCGCATAGGGATAGACATGACCGGGCGACCTGAGTCGCTGCCTTGTCTTTGAATCGGGATGCCTCCGAAGGAGGGGGCCGGGAGGTTCACGTCATCCTCCTCTTCAACGGAGCGCGGGCCTCCTGAGATGAGCTCGCTTCTCTGGAAAACGGCCACGACGTAAGGGTCCTTGGCACGCCGCAAGCCCTTGGCCTCAACGATCTTGATCGTCAGTTTGCCGCGAGCAGCGGGAACTTGAGCACCGGTGGTACCGCGCCGGATGGGTGTCTGAACGCCACTAGGAGGGACCGTCTCGTTGCTGCTTCTCTTGGAGGTCGACTTCTCCTCAGCCTGAGAGGGCTGCGCCGTTGAAAGCGCCCTTGTAGGAGTTGGTGGACCGCTCTTGAATCCCGCAAACTGTGTTAGCTTCTTGAGCTGATCAACTGACGAAGAGCTGTGAAGGGAAGCGGCTTTCTGCGCTGAACCAACGTGAAAAGTAATGGGGGATGTTGGTGTGATGGGCTTGTGAAGACTGGGATTTGATATGTGATGAGCATGCACAACTGAAGTTGTCACGATGCTTGAAGGTTGGGACATGAGGGTGAGGCTGTGGCATTTTTGCGGGTAATCTGTGACGCCTCTTTGGAGCTTCGGTCGCGCAGATGAGGATGCCGCGGACCGTGATTCTCCATATCGCAACGACAGACTTCTTTTCAAAAGTCCCGCCGACGACCGTCTGGATATCGGCGGTGTCGGGTACTGATGTGTTTGAACCAGTGCCATGGATGAAGTGTGTGGTGATGATGGCCGCTCTTCGGGGTGGGGGAGTGATGGGGATGTTGGTTCAGGATCGCCACCGGGCACAGCATCCACTGAGCTGACCTGAGAAGCCTTCCCGTCCGTCTCGACTTGTTTCGTTGAGGGACCAGGAAGCGATTGTCCTCGATTGCGATCCGACGCGACAGGGGCAGATACAGAATTGTGAGAAGAATCTGTACGAACCTGGCCGAAGTAGCTCATAATGCCCGGCAGGCGTTTGTCATGGAGGTCGGGTTGAGGGGTCGCCACCCCGGAGCGGGGCGTATCAAAGCCGATCTGATCCGCGCCATCTTCGTCAGGTGCGGCCGCGGGAGTCCTGCTGGGGTGGTTAACAGTGAGATTCATCTTTAATTGTGGCGGATACTGCGCGGAGGAGGGGAATTCGTGGGTTGGACAACAGAAACAGAGGGATGACACGCTGAGCAACACAGCGAAAAGCGGAGGCAAAATTTAGAGTCAAGAGCTAGCTCATGACGGCTGCCAAGACCATGACCACACTTGGGTACTTGTGGTGAGGACGAAGAATTGAAGCGAGGCGGAGTAGGGAGGAGTTCTGCCTTGTGTGCGTCCCTCCGTGTGTGCCTCTGACGGAAAAGAACGGGTAAATTTTTTTTCTCTCTCTTCTCTTCTTCCTCTATTGGGCTTGGGGGTGGAAGCAAGGATGCCGTCGCAATAGCTAGCCGGGTAGGTAGGTAGCGCAGTTCGGGGATGAGGAGGAGGGATGATGCAAAGGACCAAAAGGGAAGAACCGTCAAATAGAAAACATGAGTAAAGTGGACTTT